CAAACCAACAAGCATTGTAAACATCCTAAAGGCAAACCTTGGCACATTATTTTTATAATACAATGGAATTGTACAAAGGGATAATTATTTTTGATGAAAAGTTTATGTAATTAAGATTCGCAAAGTTTCCATGAGCATGAACAAAGTTCAAGGCTAGCTCCCACTTCAACAATGTTTGTCTTTCTCACTTTCACTTTCCCTTTTGAAAAGTTTTGGGTTCCCCTCTTTATTTTTTTATTTTTAGACTATATAAAAGCACTCAACAGAAATAAATGACTCTCTAAAACTTTCGGATTGTCTCCCTAGAAGCGCTTTCTTTAAAGCCATTAAGCTAGGCATATAGTGCTCAAGTAATGGATCCACCCGGATCCCAAGGTGTATCAAATCCAATTTTAATTAACAATGATTTTTAATTTAGTAGTGAGCACAAAGTAACATATATGATGCAACAACGAAGTCTAACTCTCTTCCTATGCATCGACATGTCATAAAAGAACAATTCATGCACACCAAGTAAAGGCCAATGCATAGTATAAACAATTTCTTGCAATTCTATTGTGTTGGAAACATAGAGAGGTGGAGATATAGTTCCTCTCTCATAATAATTGCAAGTAGGAGAAGAAAGCACATGCATATTACATTCATCAAAATCATCATGTGCAATGGTTGCAACCCATCAATATAATCCTTAATAAGCACAAACTTCTCTGATATAGTGTAGTTTGGAGAATTCAAAAGGATAATAGGACTATCATGCGTGGGTGCAATAGCAACAATTTCATGTTTAACATAAGGAACTATAGCAAGTTCATCTCCATAAGAATATTTCATATTGGCATCTTGGCCACAAGCATAGCAAGTATCATCAAAAAGGGATATTTTAAGAGAATCAACGGGATCATAACAATCATCATAGCAATCATCCTTCGGTAAGCACGAAGGGGAATTAAACAATGTATGAGTTGAAGAGTTACTCTCATTAGAAGGTGGGTACGGGTAGCTAATCTTCTCTTCATCCTTTTGTTCTTCGCTCTCCTCATCATCTTTTTCATCCAATGAGCTCACAGTTTCATCAATTTCTTCTTCCATAGCTTCCTGAAAAATATTAGTCTCTTCTTGGACAGTGGAGACTTTCTCAATAAGTGCATCAATATTGGAATTGTATTCATAATTCTCATAACAATATTTAAGTATAGCAAACTTTTCAGGTCTATAAACTGAATCATCAAAATCTTCAAACTCTTTAAACATAGATTCAATTTCATAAGCACCCATAAAAGCAACGGATTCTTCTATTTTTTCCACATCATAGTAATCATAGATACCATTAGCATAAGAAGCCAAGGTTTTATTATCATTAAATTCGCATGAAAAGGGAAGGTGTGGAGCCTCCATCCTAGAGCAACAAGTATAATTATATCTCAAGCATAGCTCCCGAGCATACCAATATAACATATAAATTTTATCCCATAATAGTTTCCCTTTTTGTCTCAAGCGATAATCCCTAAAGTATTCATATTGATCCAACGTGTCTCCCATAACAAAATTGAATGGGGTTTTCTCAGGATTATCAAAGTAGTACATAATTTCTTTCACATAACGAGCACCGAGGGTTTTAGGAGGTTCCCCATCTCCATGAGTAGCAATTACACCTATTTTTTTTAGTATTTCGTGTTCCATATCCATAGCTAAAGATAGAGAACAACTTAGAATAGCAAATAAAAATTACTTGGTGATAAAGCAAACAAGCACACACGAGAATATTCACCCCACGCTATGACTCCCCGGCAACGGCGCCAGAAAAAGGTCTTGATAACCCACAAGTATAGGGGATCGCAACAGTTTTTGATAAGTAAGAGTGTCGAACCCAACGAGGAGCTAAAGGTAGAACAAATATTCCCTCAAGTTCTATCGACCACCGATACAACTCTACGCCCGCTTGACGTTCGCTTTACCTAGAACAAGAATGAAACTAGAAGTACTTTGTAGGTGTGATAGGGTAGGTTTGCAAGATAATAAAGAACACGTAAATAAAAAGTAGGGGTTGTTTAGATAAAGAAGCAATAAAGTAAATATAGCGAGTGTGGAAAAGTGGTGGTAGGTTAGTAGGTTAGTCCGGTTAGTAGGTTAGTCCCAAAAATGATATAAAAGTGTAAAGTAAAGCCCATAAACATGCAAAACGGGTAATATAATAGCATGGAACAATCAAAAATTATAGATATGTTGGAGACGTATCACTACCATCACCGACGGTCGAATATGTACACCACGTGATGAATAATAATGATATAATTTAGGTTTTTTAGTTCATATATTTAATTGTACAAGTTTAATATTTGAATTATGAACGTATGAAATGTCGTACTCGGACGACAAAACCGCCCGGGGGAGTGCGACTGGTGCCACGATGATCGAGGTATGTGCGATAGGTTCCTTGAGCTGGACGAAGATCGGCGCTTCAGCATTAAGCTCGAGGAGACCTTCGATGTTGAAACGGTACGCAACGACGATAAGAGTTTTTTTTCGTAATTAAGCACGAGTTCAACTATTTAAACGTGTACTTTTCATATTTTCCAGTTCGACTAGCTTATCCCATGCTATACAAGATGTTATGTCTTGGAGAGGATGGGTTTTGAAGACCATGAAAGTATGGAAACAAAGAAAATTCACCTAAGGACCCATCATGGTGTGGATTTTGAAGTAAAGTTGTACAATTCTGAGAGTGTAACCCATTTTGGTTGCAAAAATTGGGCAGCACTTTGCAAGATGTATGGTTTTGATGAGGGTATGCTTGTCACCAAGGATCTTGGTGATCCTAAATCGAGCAAGACAATATGGACATTTGGGTCCTTGTTGATATGCTTCCAAGTCTTCCCCTATGTGAGCTTCTCAAACATAGTTATTAAGTAATTTATATTGTTTATTTCAAAATAGTTGACATCTTATTTCCATTGACAACTTATTTTCATTCTTCAAAGAATGTGCGGAAGATGGTAGACAAAACCCACTACACCGATGGCTCTGAATTAACTTATCAGGAGAAAAATCATCTGATCGCATTTTGTACTGATCTTGAGAATTACAATATCTACAATCGAACTCCTCAACATTATGGTCAATATGTGCCACTAGTGCATGTGTTAAACTACGGTACTACCATGGAGATACCCTGGTAAGATTTTTTACTATTACGACGTCCGTGCATCTTTTGCATACTTCTAAAACTAGTACATCATTGCTAACTACGAAGTTATTACTATGTTTTTCAACAGATAATCCTGAATGGTTGTGTGCCTCATCTGATGTATCAACATGGTCGCCTTAATGTTTTGAACATATAACCAGGTCATCCTACAAATCTCAACTGTCCATACCGGATTTCTAAAAGAAGTGGAGACATGACAATCAAGGAATGGAAAAAATGTATGGACAGTCGTAATGAGGTTCTTGGAAGCAAAAGAAAGCGAAGCGCAAGAATTGGAGATAGGATGATCTCCATTCTCCATAATGGAGAGTCAGGGTCTATATTGTTTTATACTACTTTACCTTAAAGAGGGTATTTAGGTCCTACCTAATACTGATGATCATGTGTTAAGAACAATTAAGTAGGGTTGGTTCGATGACTATGAGGATGATGATCGTATGACTTGTTACTAATAACGAGTAGAAGTTGTATGATGATGCATGATTAGTAGGACTTGTTATTATATATGATGATGCATGATGCGAGCATGAAGAGTTATTATATATCAGCGGGTGAAATGAGCATGGATTGGATTGAAGTGAAGGCAACATGCATGTGGTGCATGTCGAAAGTAGTACAATCCAAACTTGATCAAGTTAGGATTAGTATTACTTTGGACATGCACCACATGTTGCCTTCACTTCAATCTAAGCCATGTTTAGGCATAGCAGTAGCGTTGGTAAACGAAACACGCAGATATAAGAGAGCACACTTCTCTCTATTAGCTAGGTAATAACAACCTAAATTAACCCACAAAACCCCTAAACACCAGCCCCTTTCAAAAAAAAGAACCTCAGCTCCAGCCAGCTGCTGACGCGTGGATGCCTTTTGATCCCGGTTGCTAACCGGGACCAAAGGCACCCCTGCCTGGACTGGCCGCAGCGGCCACGTGGAGGCCCGGCCCATCCGTCCCGGTTCGTGTAAGAACCGGGACTAAAGGCCAAGGGCATTACTACCGATATTTTAGTCCCGGTTGCTAAACCGGGAAAGAAGGCCCTTACGAATCGGGACAAACGATCCTTTTTCTACTAGTGTTCTAGGCCCGATGCCTGGGCCGGGCCGGGCCTGGGTTTTTGCGTCTGGCTTGGCTAGGCATAGCCGAAGCCCGGCCTTGCCCGAGGGATGGCCAGGTATAGTGTAGAGTGGTAGTTGGCGGGGTTCAACGAGGTCATGAACACAGAGAAGTTCCCGGGAAATGTGTCAACGTTGGTGTTAACGTGTTGGGGCGCCTTCTCGACACTATCAACAAGCTGCACCAACTGCTGGAACTGAGGACGAGGGACGTACACATAAGATTTTGTTTGCACATATAATTCTCACTAATTTTAAATGCATATTATTATTTTTCTCCTGTTGCAACACACGGGCATATGTGCTAGTAAAAGAAAAAGACGGGAAGTTGTTCGATCATCCATCCATCCATTGCGATGACGGGAACATGCAAAACTGAGCCTCTTTTCTTTTCTTTTCTTTTCTTTCGGAACACTTCCATCTCCACACTCAACTAGAGTACGTAAGATCAGGATCCTCAAGCAAGATACGGATCAGCCGTTGATAAAAGATACTTGTAGTAGGGGTCGGTTTCCAAACATATATACTAACACGGATCGGTAAGCGTAGACCCATATTATTAAGTCCTGTACGTAGCTACAATTTCAGTCGATCCTCGTACCTTTATTCGTCGATCGGGAGAAGGCCTTCATCGACCCGCCGCCACCAAGTCTCGGCGTCTCTGCTCGCAGACCGCCGCTAGCTGATGGCGTCCGGATCCGCTTCTGCCGCCGGCGCTGGTCCCCTTGGGAGGGGCCTGATCTCGTGCATGCACAGCAGCAACTGCCGCGCCGAGGACGCGCCTCTTCTCTCCGACCAGGATTTGCCCCTAGCCATCGACAAGCTCATCGTCGGCTTCTACGAGGAGGCCTTCAGCCGGCTGCCCTGCGACGCCATGCCGGACCTCCTTCACCTCCTCACCGCCGACGGCGGCGGCTCCTGCCTCGGCCTCCTCGACCCCGTCTCCAACATCATCCTCAACACCCTCGCCCTCCTCCCCAAAGACGCCGCCCCCGCCCCCGCAGCAGAACCTTCCACCTCTCCGTCTCCGCCCGCCACAAGAAGATCCGAAAGAAGCAGATCCATCCCCGGTTTTGGCGGCTGGCACGAGGTTGTATCAAGATCTTACCATAGTCTTCTCGCCTTCCTCATGGCGTATTTCGGATGCCTCAAAAAGGAGCAGGCCGTCCGCTACCTCTACAGGGCCGACGCCAATCTCCTCCTCGCCGTCATGCTCATCCAACATGATCTATATGCGGACGAAGCATTGGATCCTGAATCTGATAGGACCCAAGCCGCCCTCGAGTACGCAGCCACCATAGCAGGCCACCCTTCGCCCACCACCTTGGCTCGCCTGATGTCAATCCGGCTCCAAGACGACAACTTTGCCCTTCTCAAGAAGCTGTTCTCAGCTGATGCTCAAGGTATCCCTCTCACGGTTGAGGATGTCCGGGCAACCCACCGCATCCTACACATGATGATGAGTCCGGTTTGTACTGCCAGCATTATCCATACCAAAAGAGGGCTGGTTGTCCATGTTCGTCACATGCTGGAGGCTAGTTGCTCCGAAGCTATATCGTTCTCTACTACGACGGACGCCAGGACCGCCACCACCACCTTGGGCTGGGATGGAATCCCCATCTCGTCGTTGCAGTCTGGAGTCCTGCCTGACAAGCTGCAAGATTGCCTGGGAAAAGCAATAGCAGATGGCCGGAAACACAATTTCAAGACACCATGTGGCGGCGGCGACGCATGCGATTACCTGCAGTCTCTCAAGATGTACCTCCATGGTATAATTCACAACTTGTACATCAAGGCCCTCAAGTTGCTGCCCACACCCTCTGGCTCGCTCATGCGCAGCATCCTCAAGGCCGGCCACTGCTACGGCAGCATGGACCCTGTCTCCAACATCATCGTCAACTCCATCTGGTACAACAGCTGTGGCTGCGATCTTCCAGTTTCTGAACGAAGGGACATGGTAGAGTACAATGACGTCCTGGACCCCCTATGTCTGCTCCGCGCACAGGTTCACTCCCTCAAGGGCCTTATGGAGCTCGCCGCATTCGCCGACCCCCAATTCTCGGTGCCGGCTTGTGCTCTGGAGCTCCTCTGCAGTACAAAATGCGACATTGCTAGCATGTTGCCATCATCGACAGAGAGTTCTGAAAAGAACCCCTTCCATGAGTCTGCCAAGGCCGCTGGACACACTCGGCCCCTTGGGCTGGGTGAACTGCACCAGCAGCTGCTGCTGATGCCCGATACACGAAGCGAGCTGCTCTCATTCATAACCGAGGCTCAAACTAGTGGTACCGTGTTGCGCATCAACGACATGACAAATCGTATTTCGCTCATGTGGAACAGAAACAGATCTGGGGCTCAAATTATGCAAGCTCCCGAACTTTGTGCGGGGGCATTGAGGGCGGTGTCAAGCGAGAGATCGGATTATGAGGATGACAGGAGCTGGTTCCGTTCAAAGATTGAACAGTTGCTCAAGGAATACACGACCAAACAGTTTTTGGTAGGTACTAAATTTTGGTTTCCATGCATCATTAGCTAGCTGCTACGTATAGTGTATTCTCTTTATACCTTGATTATTTTTGACCAACGCTCTTGCTTGCTGTATGTAGGGATCAGAGTATAAACTTGATACTATCTTGGGTGTGGATGAAAGACACAAAGGCTACTACCCGGGCGGTTATATTTGCTACCATGTGAACTTCACGGCCACATGTGATTTGAGGCTTCAAAGGACGCTTTTCTACGCTGAATTCTCGTCATCCTCATGTGAACCGGAGCCAGAATTCTGCTGCCCTCTACCCTATGCGAATGCGGGTAAGTTTTCTGCCGCCGGTTAGTACCTGATAGCACTTGGTTAGTAAATACTTTGGGTCACCGGCCGCACGATCTGCTTCAGGCTTGCAGCAGCCTGTACCACACCTTGTCATGCTTGCATTGCATGCATCAGTGGTAGATTTGAATTGGAATTGGCTTATTGACGTGTGCTTTGTCTGTCTCTTTACTGAATGTGGGGCTTTATTTTCTTGTTAATAGGGCGTTGCTACTATGGCGTGCTTAGTGCGAGGAAAATCGTGTATCCAGATGACGCCAAGTACATCCCGGACGATATCACCATCCGCGGAACCCGCAGCGCGGATGGCATGCTAGGGATGGACCTGGTCTACTTCAGTCCCAAGTTGGACATGGAGATTGCTGAGAATCTGAATGTGTTGCACAGTGAAGAAGAAGAAGAAAAGAGGAGGAAGAAGAAGAAGAGGACAGGGAAGGGGATGTGTCGTCCAAATTAATGCACATTCTGTGATAAAAAACCCGATGACAGAAATTGCACCGTTAAGTTTGGTTTCCTTAGCTAGCTGCTACTGTTATGTGTGTGCATGCCTTAATAATTTGCTTATTGCTTGGCCTCGTTAAATTTGCGCGTAAGTAAATACAAAGGGGACTTATAAACCCGGACCGAGGTAGTACACAGTAAGTAGTAGCTAGGCTCTAGTTTCAGTCAAGCAGTCCTCCTCCTAGGTCCTAGCAGCAGCAGCTTCAAATCCCATCCTGTACATGGCGATGCATGAATGTGCACACTAGTTTTGAGGAGGTTTCTTCCTGTGATCTTTCGAGGTCACAGACTCACAGTGCTTAATATTTTCACAGCCTTAATTGTTTGTACCTTCTCATGTTGTTGTATGGTGCCTAGCTGAACCATATATAGGTTATCTGTTTAGTATGGACCTTGTCTCACTTTGTTCATCTAGACTAGAACACAATACTGGTTACATTCAATTTTCATACGACAGCTAGTAATTACTCCCTTGTATAAGGCTGCTTATTCCTGGAAACCGCAAATGGAGCCCGACCTCCATGGCGACAGTTTTTTGAAAATCCAAAATCTGCATTTTTATGTTTCAACAAAATTTGAAAACAAATTCGTATTTGTAGATAAAGGTGAGATCTACCGGTGTGTAAATTGTCAGTGCAAAATTTGTATTATTCTACGCTATGCAAAAAATGACCAATCTGACAAAAAATTATATCTCGGAACTGTTCACTGTTAAACGAGCCAGATCTACATATTTGCCTTTTTTTTGCCAGCCTAAAATATAATGAATTTTGCACTGACAATTTTCACGGTGGTAGGTCTCGACATTATCTACACCTAGGATTTTTTTTTCTCCGAACTTGTTGAAACATAGAAATGTAGATTTCGAATTTTTTCAAAAAACGAGCTCCCAAAACGCCGTACTTTGCTTATTCCCCCCTTTTTAACTTTAAGCTTTAACTGTAAATTTCCTTAGTTACAACATTTGCAGCATGGGGAACATAGACACACACTAGTAAAAAACAGGGCTTTGGTCCAGGCTTGAAGAGGGCATTAATCCCGGTTCTCCTACGAACCGGGACCAATGGGTGCATTAGTCCCAGTTCGTGAGGCCAGGGGGCCGGCCGGGCCTCGGGGGCCATTGGTCCCGGTTCATATGACCCCTTTGGTCCCGGTTCGAGACACAAACCGGGACCAATGGGCCCCGCTCCTGACCCACAACTTTAGTCCCGGTTGGTGACTGGAACTGGGACCAAATGTGGTCCTTTAGTCCCAGTTTTAGACACAAACCGGGAATAAAGAGAGGCCTATATATACCCCCTGCCCGCGAGCAGAGCAGTGCACTGCTCTGGTTTTTTTGCCGGTCGTGGGAGAGCTTTGTGGTGCTCTAGCTCACCTCCTATGCACATGAGATGTCCGATCAAAAGCCCGAGCCATACTTAAGCTTTCTCCTCTCGATGCTCCTTGTCCAAACTCCATTTTCCTCAAGATTTGTCTAGATTTGGCGGTCCGTCCTGTCCGGTCCCCGTCCTCGCCGCCGTCGATCGCCCGCGCCGATCTTGTCGCCGGCACCACCGTGGTGAGCCTCTTGTTCTTATCTTTTTTTAAGAAAAAAAATGATGTTATATTAATTTGGTTTTAATGTGATGATGAACTTCTATTAATTTGGTCCCTTCTCTATTCATTATGTTCTGTAATGGTTTTTCTCACACTTAATTATATATAATGCACGCGGATGAACCGGCAATGGATGTACGATGACATACACACCTCCGAGTACATTAAGGGCGTGCATTATTTTCTCGAAGTGGCTGAGGCAAACAAGCAGAATGGTTTTATGTGTTGTCCATGCCCTATTTGTGAGAATACGGAATCTTACTCTAACCAGAAAACCCTTCACATCCACCTGCTTGAGAAGGGTTTCATGCCACACTATAATGTTTGGACCAAGCACGGAGAAGGAGGGGTTATGATGGAAGACAACAAAGAAGAAGAGGATGATGAAAACTATGTGCCCTCTGAATACGGTGATGCTACAACGGGGGAAGCTGAAGATCAAGAGGAACCAGACGATGTGCCCGATGATGATCTTCGCCGGGTCATTGTTGATGAGAAGAGACAATGTGAAAGTGAAAAGGAGAAGTTGAAATTAGATCGCATGTTAGAGGATCACAAAAAAGGGTTGTACCCCAATTGCGAAGATGGCAACACAAAGCTCGGTACCACACTGGAATTGTTGCAATGGAGGGAAGACAATGGTGTATCTGACAACGAATTTGAGAAGCTACTGAAAATATTGAAGAAGAAGCTTCCAAAGGATAACGAATTGCCCGACAGTACGTACAGAGCAAAGAAGGTTGTGTGCCCTCATCCTAGCCAATGATGTGGCGCAGGTTTTCTATGTGAAGGACATGTTTACCAAAACCGAGAAAAAGAAAAGATAAGGAAGCGAATACATCATACAATGAGCCAAAGTGCCACATAGTTCTTTCAGGAAAAAAAGACATCATGGGAGTGGAGGGCAAGACAGACATGTCTGAAGATTATGAAAAGTTTCATGAAATTCCTCCCTTCAAAGTCAAGGCTGACCCAAGCACCCTGTTAAACGATGAAGATTATCCATGGTTGCAGCACAATAAGCAAAGGACACAAGCGAAGAAAAAACGAAGACTTTCTCTCCACATCTATTATGATGATGCCTTTAATCTAGAATATCACTACAGTTACATGTCAAGAAATGAAATCCCTTTGTAACAGATGAGTTTTCGTCCGAAACCTTCTTAACTTTTTAGAACATGCTATGTGGGTGAAATGATGATACCATGCCAATTTTCAACCTTTTTAGAGTTCATTTGAAGTGCTTTTCGATTTCAGGGCCATTTAGCTCAAAAAAATCAATAAATGCATGAAAAATACCAAATGAAGTCAGAAAGGATTAAAAATTGATGATGTGTCTTTGAATGGTGCATTTTGAACACACAAAAAGTCTGGAGTTCAAATAAGTTCAAAAAATGAAATCCCTTTGTAACATATGAGTATTCATCTGAAACCATGATACTTCGAAAGATATTGTCCATTTTGCACACGAAGTGCATCCAGGTTTTGTCGTAACCCTCTCAACTTTTTAGAACATGCTATGTGGGTGAAATGATGATACCATGCTAACTTTCAACCTTTTCAGAGTTTATTTGTAGTGCTTTTCAATTTCAGGGTCATTTAGCCTTTAAAAATCAGTAAATGCATGAAAAACACCAATTGAAGATTGAAAGGGTTGAAGATTGATGATGTGCCTTTGAATGGTGCATTTTGAACACACAAAAAGTCTACAGTTCAAATAAGTCCAAAAAATGAAATCCTTTTGTAACAGATGAGTTTTCGTCCGAAACCATGATACTTCGAAACAGATTGTCCATTTTATACACGAAGTGCATCCAGTTTTTGTCGTAACCCTCTCAACTTTTTAACACATGCTATGTGGGTGAAATGATGATACCAAGCCAACTTTCAACCTTTTCAGAGTTCATTTGTAGTGCATTTCAATTTCAAGGTCATTTGACTCAAAGAATGAACTAATAGCAAAAAGAATGAACTAGAAAACTTTTATGTAACTCTAATAGCAAAAAGAATGAACTAGAAATAATCAATTAAAATATTACGTTATGATCAACTAAAACAAAACTATATTCTTGAATAGCAAAAAGAATCAACTAGAAAGCTTTTATAAAACTCTAATAGCAAAAGGAATCAACTAAAAAAATTATAAACCTCTAGTATTTTTAAAACTAAAATTATATAAAATTTATGCAACTAAAATTATCAAAGCATTTTTTTGTACAAAACATCAAAAGCAAAAAGAATTTTCATAAAGATTTTTTTGTTAGAAACTTTAATAGCAAACTAAAATAACAAAATCTATTTTTCATTAAAATAGACATTTAAAATAACCTACAAATTACCAAATTGAATATAATGATAAAACACAGTAATATTAAATAGCAGGAAAAATAATCACTCAAAAATCTATTTTTATAGTAAAGTTATTCACAAACTATTGATTCACACAAATTTCATAGAATTCAAATTTAAACTATTCAAATTTGAAAACTAATGGCACTAACAAAAAACTTATAATTTTTGTGACCTAAAAGCAAAAAGAATCACTGAAAAACTGTAAGTAGAAACAAAAGAAAATAAATAAAGCAAAAAACAAAACAAAAAAACTAGAAAAAAATTACGACTAGAAACCCAACCATGGGCCAGGATTCAGGCCCGAAGAAGGCCCAGTAGGCCCACATGCATATACAGAGTGTTTAGGCATGTAAGCCTGCTTTAGATAGGAGCTCGAAAGCTCAGGCACACCACACCTTATAAACAGGTGCACCTCTCTCTCAGCTAGCGAGGTAGGACGAAACTCCCACCATCACGCCGCTGTGCAAGGCTATTGGTCCCGGTTGGTGGTATGAAACGGGACCAATGCCACCCTTTGGTTCCGATTCGTGTCACTAACCGGGACCAATGCCCACCTTTGGTCCGGGTTGGTGTAACCAACCGGGACCAATGGTCTTTGCTTCCCACCCTTTGGGTTGCTGGAAATTGACCTTTGGTCCCGGTTGGTGGCATGAAACGGGACCAAAGGTGGTTGCTATATAACCAAACACTTAGCAAATTTCACTCCACCCACCATTCCTCCCGCGGCGACGCTGCCAGGCTGCTGCTGCTGCCCCGCCTCGCCTCATCGCCGTCGTCGAGCTGCTCCGACGCCGCCCCGGCGTCGCCGTTGCTGTGCCCCCGCCCCAATCGACACCGTCACCGCGCCCCTGCGCTGACATCGCGCGCGCCGTCGCCTCCCCGAGTCGCCCCGAGGTCGCCGTCGCCTGCCCGAGCTGCCCCGACGCCTCCGCCGCGTGCCCCTGCCCTAGTGAGCCCCTGCCCTGCCCGATGATTTTGTTCATAGTTTTTTTGTTCATAGATTTTTTT